CGTCCAGCTTATTGACGCCAACGGGCCTGTTTTCGTACCACACGTCGTCTGTTGGGGACCAATTTCTCTTCGGATACTGGAAGAGGGATTCGCAGTTTGGATTGGTCTTTGACAAATACAAGCGCAGAGCTTTGTAGCCGTCGTTTGGATAGTCAGTTTCATGCATTCGAGCTTTTTTCTCTGAGGAGTTTACATCATTTATGCCGCCCGGGTGGTTCTTGGTCGATTCGTCGTGCGCCATTGTAGCGTAGGGTCGCCCGCTTGCACAACTTCAAACTTCAAGCTTGATGTCTTTAGCTCTCGCTGGCCTTCTCTTCCTCTCCGGCAGAAAAACAAGATCAAATGGAACCAGACATTCCTTAACATACTCCATGGATCATTAAGGGAGAGAGCCTTGGAAGTTTTCAACTTCAATAGATCTTGGTTTTCTATGACTGGTTTATGTTGTGTATCCTCCTTGTTTTTTCGCTTCATTTGAACTAGCTGGGCATCAAGCATCTCATATGAACGGTTAAACCTTGGGTCAGTTGAGAGCTTCAAACCACGGTTTAAAGGAGGCTGATTCATATATCTCTCAATGGCATGTCGAAAGCCTAGGAGTGTTTTCTTGCTGTACATCTCGCCGGTTGTCTTTCGTGCTTCGGGATAAAACCTGCGGAGATTTGCATCCAGTTGACCAAGCGTCATCTTCTCAAGAGGTGTCTGAATGTGCTTCTCTTTGCACCATGCTAAAAAAATAAAGGTTTGAAAAAGGTTAAGAACAATTAATTTGTATTTCTTACCTATTATCGAGCAATTATTTTTTGTTTCTCTTAGTTGCAGTGCGAGCACTCAACAAGCTGTTGTGCAAAACCGATTGAAAACACAATGTTTTATTTCATTACTTAGTGAATTAGTAGGAGATTTTTGCCGATAGATCGATTCACTGCTTTAAAAATATGTAAACAGTTTGCTAGCAATAAAAATAAAGCAGAAATACGAAAAGATTGTTGTTTAATATTTCATAATTTTCGTTGAGAGTGATAGCTGTCTACAACACAACTTACGGAAGCCACGTTAGTGTTTATTGTCTGTGTTGACATCTTCGCGAAAAATATTTTTCATGAAAACTAGTTTCTATATTTTTAACTAAGTCAAAAGGTCATGCCATTTTATCTCATAAAAGCTATTTATTAATTTTCCTTACCTTTAAACGTGGAAACACACCAGTTTGTGGTTTTTTTGGTCTTGGCAGACTGCTTATCAGCGAGGATATCTTGCAACTCGTTTTCGTTGAAGTTAGCAAATCTTTGTGAATTTTTTTCTGGTTTTTGTTGTTTATTGATTGGGGGTTCAATGTTTTGCTCAAACTCAAAATCAAAATTAGGAAGCTCATAATCTTTGTTAGATGGAAAAGAAGCCATATTTCTAGTTTTAAGTCACGAAACACTTTGCTATTTGCTACAGCTAGCGAACCAACGGTGAATTTTTCGCCGCTTCACCGTAAAAACATTTTCTATGTGATATCTCTATGGGATATCCATTTTTTTCACATAGCAAATTAGCCAATCAGAGCACGCGTTATATCTTGCCTATGTTATAATAAGCAATCTCTTCTGCCATATTGCTCGAGATCGTTGAGCTTGTCACTTACGTTTGCTAGCTTTTGTTCGATCTGATGGATTGTCGATTTCAGGATTTTGCTTTCGTTGATGGTTTCATTTAATGTTGACTCATTATTATTCATTGAATTTGCTGCACTTTCATATTTGATATTTGCAAATTTTGCAAATCGATCTACTTCGTCAACTTTCTGTTTGAGTTCATCTATTTATTTTACAAGAGGATCAAGTTTTTCTTTCAAAATTTCTTCTATTTGCTGACGAATTTCATAAGACATGATGAGGATGAGAAATAAATATACGAATATACATTCATAAAGGAAGTTTGTCGTGGTTAAGTAGTAAATTAAAGTCAAATTTACATCCAAACTTCAAGAGCGCGGGAAAGCACCTCCATCTTGTTCCGCGACCGCTGACCAGAATAGAAGGTAAACAGCTAGGTCATGCGAATCAAAAGTAAGCTGGTATTTCTAAACTACTAACTTCATTCAGGGACATCTTCATAGTGGAGATGGGGCAAAAAACATCCAAATAAAGCCAATTTTGTTCGACAAGCTTTGCTTTCTCCGTTAAATGTCCCTAAACCATATGTGAGACAATCTCCAATCCCGTCTCCAGAGCCTGCGTTTCTTCTGGGCTGCGGCGAAGAACGAGGGCTTTGGCATAATCCATTTTCTTGGTGCATGCGCAATGCTCCGGATGTGAAATATAATCAATGAAAATCGCGCTTTAAAAAAGATTTCTGAGTTTACTTCCGATCAAAAATCGGGAACATTTAAAACAAATTTTTGGCACGTCTTTGAACGCATGCGCTCTTAGACCGGAAGTCCAAGAGATCTTGGCTTAAATGAAGAAATTATGCCAAAGCCCTCGTTCTTCGCCGCAGGCCAGAAGTAACGCAGGCTCTGAGTATGAGATCAAGACAATCTCGTACCCAGAGCCTTTATTTCTTACTGCGTATGCTCAACGAAATAAAGATTAAGAAATAAAGGCTCTGAGGCGAAATCGAGATTTTTCCGGGCATACAACGCAGGGATCCCAACCGTCAAGATTAGTGTCGCTACTCGTTTCGCTCGCAGCAATAAGGACATTCATTAGAAGAAGGCGGTTCATTGAAAACAAAGAAACGTCGACGACCTTGGAAGGGCACACTCACACACAAAGTTTGAAAGAAATCTGTTTTTATACCCAAAATGGTTATGAGGTTCTTACAGAGACAGTCTCTTAAGAGATGGCAAGGTTGACTGAGAACCGAAGGACAACTGAAACTAAGCACAACTCCTATTTATAATGCTGACACAATTAATTTCAAATTATGTGCTCTTGACTGCAGGTCTTTGCGTAAACACATTGATGATTCTTTAGAAATGATTATAATTTTTCTGCCACTGACATCAGCATCTTCTTTGAAACACGATTTAGTATAACTGACAATGATTCTATGTATACAATATGTGATTACAATTTATTCAGAAATGATGCAACATCAACAACAAATGTGACACCATATGGTGGTACTGCTATCTATACTATTAACCTTGATTACTGTCCTGGTTATCCACAAATATATATAATATTGAAATTACAACAACAAGATTTATGATTCTTCCCCTTGTTACAATTGTAGCATCGCCAACTATTCCGGTCATGCGCCCGCGTACAAATGCAGCGGTGTCGCTTGAAAGTGTTAGGCGAGTTAAGTCAGATTTTACAAAGAAATTTATAGAGAGTCAAGCCTGGGTAGAAGAACAATATCTAACATTAAAGCATTTGATTTTTACCAACCATACTTTAATTTGTTTGGAAAAACCTTTTCGTCTCGATAGTTAGATTTTAACACGCTTCTTGCCATATGTGCTTTGTTAAATTGCAAGAAAAACACAAAAGGTCAAATATTATAAACAACATTTCTCAAAATCAGAACTAGTTACCTCATTTGCCGGGGTCGATCCTTAAAACACACACATTCTAAATTACTGATGTCGAATCTGTGGTCGATTGAACGAATTTATATATACTTTTCGTTTTTTACTTTCAAAAAGCTCCGAATTGAGACGAGTATTTGTGAGATCCTTTCTTCCTTTCTTCAAGAATTAGGAACTTTGTTAAGTAAAAACCTTGAAAATTACTTGAAAATACGGCATGTTTGGTACCAAAATAAAGCTTGAATCCTCAGCTCTCGTTTGCCATCATTTGTAAAAGGATACCTATTAAAGCACAGGAATACCGTAGCAAAAAGTTGTGTTTCTCTAAGTCCGGGCCTGAGAGAGCTTGGGCCTCCTGTGGTTTTTATTTTATACATGATATCCGCTGACTTGCCGAGCGGCGCATGGCCGGAATAGTTGGCGATGGCGTTTTATACAAACCTCCCAGAATATCTTATAGCCAATTATGTACAACTTTGAGACAAGAAATAGAATTATTATCATTTCCATATGCAATATTTATTGGTGATTTTAACGTCAATTGGTTTAATGAAACTCAAAAATTGCCACTGTACGATTTGTTTGTTAAAGATAACAGATACAGACAGCTTGTATATCATATTCTACCACAGATAACAAGACGTGCATAGATCACACATATATACTAATCTACCCGAAATCTACCCCATTCCAAAGTTTCATCCAATATTTTGGAAACATACTTCTCAGGTCGTAAATCTGTCTATGCACTCACAAGAGAATATGAAGTAAGAGAGCACATCCCTGTGCCCCATTAAAGGTTTTTGAAAATCTATTTTTTAAATCAAGACGATGGTCGCTCGCTCGAATCTCGTTTTTTGGACTCGATTGCAGTTATTCATGAGACTGTAAGTTTATATTCCACAAGTTTCCACCTAAATTGAAATACGGTGAATATTGCTGCTCCCAAGAACACATACTTCTGACTTGAACTTCAATGCTATGAAAATGACAAGTTATCTAATGGACATCTAAAATGAAGGTAGATTGATTTGAACAAACTTGTTGACTTCACGAGTCAAAAGTTTAAAAAACTTTAAGCTTGAAAGAAAATTTAGCATTTACTGTTGGAATCAATTGTTTACCAGTAAAAAGAAGAGGTTTTAAGATGGCTGAAAACAGTCAAGCTGCTCGGAATTGAACATAACGGCACAAATACGCCGAACTGAGCATCTGGCGGAAAAAAATCGCAAGTAAAATGCCCTTCAAGCAGGTAAAATGATCTCTTTTTTATTAGTTTGAATCCTCAAATACCAAGTTTGATTCGCTTTTTGTATTTGGCCGATATTGTGATTGTATTTCTATTGTCTGTTGGGGACTTTAGAAGTTGTAAAGTTATGAAAAAAAATACCTGAACATTGAGGCGGAGCAAAAATTCATGGTGCAAAATATGAAAGAAAGTTCTAGTTTTAATAGTCAAACTTTTTAATTAATTCACCTTTTCTCAATGGGCAATGTCTTTTGCATAAAGTGACATACCGTATTTTAGCTTGCATGCATATTAAATAATTGTGAAAAATCATTTCAGTTCACTTGGTGAAGTTTTTTCCTCTGTGATAAGAGAATTTTTTCTTCGGCACATTTCGGTGCAAAAAGGTTTGTTCTGATTCGTGTGTGAAACAAAACACTGGTCTTGTTTATCATCTTCTTAGTCACTTGCACTCAAACTTTATTTACTATCGAAAACGCTAGGATAAATGCTTTTTTCGCTGTCTTCACTGTAGGTTCTTCGCTATTTTCATCGCATTTTTTACATGATAGTTGTTTTTTTTTAACTTTTTACTGATTTTGTAGACATTTTCTCGTCGGAAACTAAACATTTTTCTCTCACTACAACTGTGAAGAATCGCATGCTAAAAATAGCTCAGCCTTGCGCGCGGAGCTAAAAATGGATTTTCAAGAAACTTTCATGGTTACAGACCCATGTATGGGAGATGTGCTCTCTTACTTCTCTTTCTCTTGGCACTCATTAATTGCTTCCATTAATGAAACCACATTCACAGTACCCATGTTAAACCTATAATGTACATTGTAATGCATAAACAAGATCAACACAAGAGTAACAAAAAGGATCAAAACAATATCACATGTCAGATGTCAGTCATTCAAAGTAGTAGGCACATGCGCTTCAAAAGCGCCTTTTTTTAAATTACTCACCGGTCGCTGTCTTCTCATGATATCTATAATCGATATTCGGTTGCATTTATTCTTGTAGTTACAAACAAACGTGCGTGGGCCTGAACATGCGCACTCTGCATTTGAAGTACAACTTGTCTCCAAGATAGATGAGCACTACGTAGCAAAGGCTGGATTAATATTCATTATGCCAAATTGGAGGGGAGGGGGTGGTAATAATTTTCGATACTCGTAAATATTCAAATGTTTAATGCTCTACCCTTCTCCCCTCGGGCATACATATGTAGACTAATGCCATGACATTTGAAGTTCTATGATCAACACTTGGAAATGTTTAAATTGCCCACCCGAATGATAAGCTATTGTTATTTTAATTAGTCATTAGTATTCGTATGATTATTTTCAATTTCCCGCCTCATGTTGATCATGAGTTCTGTTGTTTACGTTAATGAAATAAGAGATTAACGAAGGAGCCATTGTTTCCCAGATTGCATTCCAAAAGATTGATACAATTTGAAGGTCAAAACCGGCAATTCATGTTTAGGTGAGGCATTTTACACTAAGTAAGTTTAAGTATTTTTATTTCCTTCCATGTGTCAGTTGTTTCAAATACCGAAGAGGCCTCTGGAATCTGAAAAAAAATGGCGGTCACCATGCATCTAAGCGAGATAATTAACGTTAAACACTAATGACGTAAGCATGTTGTGCTCGTTATAAATGTATGTGATTTACAATAATAATAGATAATTTTTGTATCTCATAGGAAATACTGAAAGAAAAATGGAGATTTCAAGCCCTCAAAGCATTAAAAAACTTATTCAATTCAAAGAACGATAATTAATACGTCTCCCCTTACACACACACACACAC